CTCCTCCTCCTCCTCCTCCTTCTTCTTCTTTTGGTTGGTTGTGGGGGCCTGGGCACTGTCCCTCAGCTCTTCAGCTCAAGGCTAGTGCTCTACCACTTGAAATGCCAGAGCGCCACTTCTGGCTTCTTCTGCTTATGTGGTGCTGAGGAATCGAACCCAGGGCCTTATGCATGCAAGGCAAGTGTTCTACCACTGAGCCACCTTCCCAGCCCCCTTTTCATATTTCTGTTGCCCCCTCATCTTTAGGGCACAGGATGGCAGCCTCAGGTGTCCGAAGAACAGGAAAGAACATTCTTACCAGGGGAATGAGTGAGACAAGAAGCATACCTCTACTGGGAATGGCTTAACAGGCCTAGGTGGGAAGCTGCTAAGTCTCATGTGAGGTGAGATGAGGGAGGGATAGAGTGGTTTGTAGGGGAGTGCTTGGGACTGTGGACTTGATATGAAATAGAATGGAAGATATTTGGGCTGGGAAGGTGGCTCAGTGGTAGAGCGCTTGCCTGAGGCCCTGGGTTCGATTCCTCAGCACCAGATAAGCAGAAAAGGCCAGAAGTGGCGCTATGGCTCAAGTGGTAGAGTGCTCACTTTGAGCTGAAGAGCTGAGGGACAGCGCGCAGGCCCAGAGTTCAGGCCCCACAAACGGATCCCACCACCCCAAAAAAAAGAATGGAAGATTTTTTTTTGGTTGGTCATGGGGCCTGAACTCTGGGCCTGCACGCTGTCCCTCAGCTCTTTAGCTCAAAGTGAGCACTCTACCACTTGAGCCATAGCGCCACTTCTGGCCTTTTCTGCTTATCTGGTGCTGAGGAATCGAGCCCAGGGCCTCATTTATGCAACGCAAGCACTCTACCACTGAGCCACCTTCCCAGCCCAGGCTGGAAGATTATTTAAACAAAAAAAAAGTTATTTTCCAGCAGGATAACATTTATATTTGAGCCAGGCTCACACCTGTAATTCTAGCTACTCAGGAGGCTGAGATTTGAAGCTCGTGGTTCAAAGCCAGCAGGGGCCAGAAAGTCTGTGAGACTCTTATCTCCAATTAACCACCAGAAAGCTGGAAGTGACGCTGTGGCTCAAAGTGCTAGAGCACACTAGCCTTGAGCAAAAGATCCTGGACAGGTCCTGAGTTCAAACCCCATGACCAACAACAACAGCAAATTCATATTTGACAAAGATCATTGGGGCTGCCAATGGCAAATAGGTTGACTGTGGTAAAGAGATCTCAGCCATGAGGTAGGGAGGTGTTGAGAGTGGAGGAGAGGACAGTGTCGGGCTCAGGGCTGAAGCAGAAGATGAACTTGGGAAAGGAGAAGGCAGAATATGGGCAGGTGATTAGGGAAGGCCTTAGTGCTGCCCCCTCACACACTGAATGGGTTAGTGGAAAGGAGAACATGATGGGGGATGGGAGCAGAAGATATTAGCCCCTCTTCTTTGTCCTGTTAGAATTTATCTGTTATCCTACTAGAGTCAGCAGCTTGTCTCTGGACAGGAGCTCAATGTTC